CTAATCGATTATTAAATTAGTCATCTATTATTTTAATAATCGATTAGTTGTCGATTAATCGACTAATTGTGGCAGCCCTAGTACATATAAATATTTATAGTACATACCTGAAACAGCTACATTAGTGTATCCTAAATTTTTTTAATATTAATATCTTAATAGTCATTTAGAAAAATGTTTCTGAAGAGGCCACCCCCCAATAAATATCATTTTGGAAAATCTAACCACTCATTTTACTCAATATTTTTACTTTTAATACTCAAATACATTTTATGTCAGAAATTTATTTTTGATACTTCAGTACAAAAGATATCAGATACTTTAAGACTTTTACTCAAATAATATTCCTAAAGGAGACTTTTACTAAAGTAATTTTATGGTAAGATACTTGTACTTTTACTCAAGTATCACTTTGTGGTACTTTATACAACACTGTGTATTGGTCATAATTTATACCTCTTCATGCCTGGAATGTTGCCCCAATAGTAGCGTGCTCTATGAGCAGGGCTGACTTTCACAGCATCAATAAGAACGGGATTACTCTAAAAAAAGAAAAAAAAACACATTGAACATTAAAACAAACTGAAGTTTTTCTATTTACAACATACTGACAGCACTATGAGAAATATCACCTCCAGGAACCGGCAGATGTCAGATTTGTCATGGGCACTCATGAAAACCACGTTCTCAAACAACCAGAAGAACGGGCGGTTGTCGTCCTCCCTTGGCTTCAAAATGTTCAGTATGCGGTAATATTCAAAAAAAAGTCTCCCAGTGCCCTCTGCAGAAAAAACATGTCAACAAGTCATCAAAGAGAAGAGGATACATAAAAACCATTCTTTCTACAAAGGTAAAAAGTAAGTTGCATACCAAATAATCCTTTACGTAGAGGGTTGACCATGGACAGGTCGTTACAGGGACTGCCTCCAATCAGGAGATCAAAAGGACCCCATTCAGCCAGCTGAAACAAACAAAGCTGGAGTTCAGTTCTCGTTTTAAAGTAGTTGAAGCCTGATGTTTCTGCAGTTTGAGCTCACATGTTTCCTTGTGATGGCGCGAACATCGTTGACGTATTCAATCTTCCCTCCATGCTTGATCATTCCCACGGTGATTGAGTTGTCACAAATCTCAGAAGCAATGTATCTCTCAATCTTGAAGCCGAGTTCTTTCAGCACCAAATATCCTGTCATGATGGAAAGAGGTTTTTTAAGTTTAATGACGAAAAACAAGAGTTTCATAATGCAAAGTCTTTGATAATATATTGTAGGGGTCACCTCGAGTCACCTCAGGTCACCTTAACCTGTAAAAATGACATTCTCTTCTTCTTAATCAGTTATTATTTGATTTATTGTTCTCTTAACTGAAAGTTATTATGCATTTTGATAATCAGAGAATGTCTATCAAAGTTACAGGAGAAAAGAGGAC